CCACAACGAAGGTCTAGCTTGATTGGGGGGTCTTGCACGCCGCATTTCGGTGCATGCATTGCCTTCCAATCAGCTGTATGCATTATCGTTGCCCATCAACAAATCCAGACTTTTTGCTCTCAGAGTCCAGCGTCTCGTGCAGTACTCCTCTCCTTACGATAGAGTTTCCAACTCAGTCCGATCCGCCCATTGGACAGATTATGGGTAAGAGGGTGAAGCCACCGGATGGTCGATAACATACAAACCATTTTGCGCAGCCAATCAACCACTGCCGTATCCTCTTCACAGTGATTATCCAGGCAAAATACTGCTCAGACTTTGCCCTGTCGAATATGTGTTGATGAATGTGTACTGCAACTGTGAGCAAGACGTTAAAATTCGGGAAGATGATTTGTAGCTCACCGAGATGGGTCCGCTTTGATGGTAAATAGCGAATTAAAGGACCAAGCCACCAAGGACTTTGGAAGTATGGAGCATGGAAGGAAGAGTTCACCCACTGTTTGTCTTTCTCCGATGGCCAATCAATAATGGACTCTGGGGCTGTTAGGTCAGAAGATCCAGGAGATCCTCCAGTGGCAGCTGATAAGGAACTAGATTGACCGACAAAAGTGGCATAATAGCGCAGAAGCTCGATTTTCTTTAGCTCAGAGTCTGGGATACTCAATGGGACCCAGCAATGACGGAACACGAATTAACAAGCGCTACTGTAATCTTGAATCTCACAGTATCACGGCCGTAGCGTATTGAGTTTCTGGTGGTTTCTGCATTAAGAAAGTGCTTGCCTGCAGACAAGCTGTGGCAGACCCTCTCTGCTACCATCAGAGATAATTCTTCCCGGGAATGGCATCTGACAGCAGTGAGAAACAGTATGGACACTGACAGCGTGAGACTCCCTCCAACCGCCAAGCACCTGGCTCTAGTTGACACTTTATAGTCGAACACATCTGAGGACGGTTTGGCGATCTCCAATCAAACGCTGCCAGGCTCGGACGTTTCGGAAAGGCTCGACACGATCATCGCAAAGTTGAATCGCCTCGATGCAGACCACGCGAAGCAACGCAGCAAGATGCAAGACTTGATAACCCAGATCGAAGCTTTGAAATTAAGAGAGAGTGAGATCCAGGGAGCTGTAGAGTATTGGAAAGATCAGCACAACAAAGCACAGGAGCAGATAACGAAACTCGAGGATCGATACAATGAAATGATCAAAAGACACTTCCTCATGAGTGTTGACCTCGGCAATAAAGAGGGCATAATTCAAGGCTTGCAAAAAGACATCATTGACAGAAGTCAGGTTGCCCACCCTCGCGAGCATCAGGAACTATACCAAGTTGTCGTCGGCAAGGAAGGCCGTGTCATTGATGAGCAAGAGTGGTTGGAACTATCCAGTGGAGTGGACACAGCGAGCAATAGCGAACAATGATATGCTCTTTCCTCACTTTCACACGTTGAAATTCCTCTTCTCTCTGTTGCAAATGTGTGGCTCTTGTCCTCGCGATTGGCTGGGCAGTTTGGGAAAACAGGTCTGCTGACTGATCAAATTTCATGTTTGTACGATTGCTCTATACATTGTATGTCATTTCCTTCGAGAATATACAGATTGACGTACCTTACGGCCGCCTGCAAAACAAAGCCAGATTTGAATTAGAAAATATTGCTTTCAATTGCCTGCAAATATCCGCAATAGGATCAGACCGTCTCGTCCTAAGACATCGACTTGCTTTCGAGATCAATCCACTCAGAGATATTCTTCGGCTCTTGTTTGAAAAATTGTGATTGGTTCACACAGCTTCCCCTCCGATCGGATAGCTTTTGATCGGAGCACTGTATTTCACTTTACTGTACTGTACTGTTCAGTCCGTTCCTTTAGAAATGATAAGTTGCTTCTGGTTGGCCCTTTTTTTCTACAATATTGCTGCCCCACTTACCCTACTGTCCCGTGAACGCGGTGATAAAGAAGACCAAGAGCTTGCCAAAAGAATACAAAAGCTCGGCCAAGCGTCTCAAGGAAGGATCCTCAACCAGCCTGGATATTCATACCTTACGAGGGAAATATCAAATTTGCTCGGCCACCCCCCGCCCCCCCCCCCGGGGCCTTTACAGTGCTTTCAGGCCGAGGTCTTCGCCCCATGGGTGAAGTGAACAGTCACCTGCCACAAAGTTCGGTACATTTCAACGGTTTCAAAGTGCAGGAAAAGATGAATGAACAGCAAAGGGTACCCTGGAACGCAAAGCCCTCGCGCCTGGCAGAGCGATCGCCCCAAGTTCTTTGCAAGCCAGCTATTTGGAAGCTGCCTGTAGAGCTGCTCAGCTGCATCATCATTCTCCTTCTGATTGACGTACCGCCGAACGGCATCACCAAGCGCAATGTCGACCTGATGGCACTGCTTCTAACATCGAAGAGGCTCTACGACGCCACTTTACTCACCCTCTATCGACACGTCACCATCCCGCATTCCAAGATCTTCAAGAAGTTCCTCTTTCAGATCGCCCAATATCCGCCACTTGGCTTGCTAGTACGGCGCTTCGACTTCAGCCATTTCAATCCGATCATCTCGTTCGATACGGCCAGTGAGAGGTTCCAGGCCCGCAACCTCACGCCTACCACCCTGCTTCGAGCCCTGGAGCTCACTCCGTGCCTTCATGAGTTCCTCGCCCAGGAGCACATCGACGACGAGTTGGACTCCCAGGTGCTCCGAAAGCTATTCTTCGGCCTTGATCAGATACAGGCCCTGGACTTCTGCGGTTGTTCATCCTCTTCCTTCCAGCAGTCCTTCACCTCCGCCGTTACCACAGCCGACTGGACGAAGCCTCATAGACTCAAGAGACTTTCTCTGCACAACTGTACAACACTTCCTCCAACGATCTTCGAGGCGCTCCTGCCAGGCCTCACTCAGCTTACGCACCTCGACGTGGCTGGAACGCGCATCACGGATGCAGCGCTGGCATCCCTCGCCAACTCAGCGCAGATCACCAACCTCAACCTAGCAAAGTGTAACAAGCTCTCCGCCGAAGCCATCACAAACTTCATAGCGACTCATATTGCCGTGAAAGATTCTTTGGTCTGGCTCTCGCTCGCTGCGGATGCCCGGACCCACGAAACGTTCAACGTTGACGCCTTGGCACGGCTTATACCGAGGCTGCCCAAAACGCTGAAATCGCTGAACCTCAGAGGAAGTAACATGGACGAGTCGCACATTGCGCTCCTATGCCCTTTGACAAAACAGCTGGAGGAGTTGGCCCTGGGGCGCGGCCTGAACGCCGGCGACATGAACGGGCTCTTCCTGCCCGACGAGATCCGACAGACAGTTGCGGAGAACGACCAAACAAGGGCGGAATTGGACGATTGGGTGCCTCAAAACCTGCGCTATCTTGACCTGTCAGACATGTGGCGTGGTGACCTGGTCCTGCACGAACTTTATAACACGTCCGGATGCGCCCTCTTGACGGCGCAAACGGCGCCGTTGGAGGTGATTGAGCTCCCTGAGGACGCGGCGCGTCGACTATCGAGAGACAACACACCGCTGAAGAGGTCTGGTTGGCGCGTCAGCGAGCTCGGCGACCGGACGTGGATTGTGCGCGAGGGCCCCAAGTCCGGAGCCGGGGCCCAGGCCGGGGGCGCTGGCTGGAAGGTAGGGCCTCTGATGTGGGGAACCCGCAAAGTATCCGTGGCCAAGGCTGAGGCTGGCAGCATGTATGGGAGTTACATGTAAGCTGGTCAGATGAAGTTCCCCGAACGAGGAGGTTCGCAATCAGATCGAACATCAGCAATCAATTCGGACGTGAAGCATTGATGGCTCTCAAAATTGGCTGGAACGCATTGCACGGCACGGAATAGGTTGCAACTCAAAGAAGCAGTCTCGAAATCGCCTATTGATAGAATACGGAATCGGCTCATAAGCAAAACCGTAGTCCCAGCGCGAATAAGCCAAGCGTCGACATTCGGACAATTTCATGTAGTGCGATGAAGCAGAGTTATCGTCGATCCCATGTTCAAAAATGTGCGATGAGTGAGCATTGGTGCCGAGTAATACATTCAACGTGCATGATTCATATTCACCAGTAGTAACGCTCATCCGAACCGGCTGTACCATCTCCTGTGAAGTATCGTGTGAAGTGACGAGGATGGACCTAGAGTTTCGTTAACAAAAGAATAGCTCACGGAAAAATGTGGCCCAAGCGCTTCGTAGCTCTAGCTTGGCACGGCTTCACATTTGTTCCTTCCGAATCTCGGTCACGTCCGCTGTCGCTTCATGCAACTATGGTACGCTAACCGGTCGCCCTAGAACTAATCTAGTCCCCGAGTGGCCTCCCTTTGTTCATCTTACTGCGTGCCTCAAAATCCGCGCTACGCTCCATACACTGCGGCGCCTGTATCTCTGCTGCCAGTCCGAACAACCAGGCCTCCAGTGACCGTCCTAGGGATGTGAAGCTGCCAGAAAGGCAAGCCAGCTTAGGCTCATATTTCCGCAATCTCAGCGTTTGGATGTTGGGGTGCGCAAGCAGCGTCACAGAGGGCCCGGCTGTGACTACATTTTCCTTAAACAAGTTCTTCGTTAGCCGGGTGACCAGCTCTGATGGGAAGCGGGAAGAGGTGGGTAGAAAAGGGCGCGGTCAAAATGGGGCGAGACAGACGAGAATAGAGGACCAGCCGTACTGCACTCATCAGTGCCTCCTCGGGCTCTGTGGACGAGACCTGTCCAAACGCCCTGAGTCACGGTCGAAGTCATATTTGCAGATCTCAATTTCTATCCCTTCTCCACGTACAGCTAGCCAAGGACCGCGGCCCCTAATGCGGATGCCACACCGCTGTACCTGTCCGGGTCGATCGGCTCGCTCTTCAAGGTCCGGCTCACAGCGCATGGATATACGCTTGTCGCCAAAGGAGTCGACATGGATGATCTCTCACGCCTGCAGCATGAGGAAAGAATATACAAGCAGATCCAAAGTGTGCAGGAGAAGCATGGTCCCGCTTGCCTTGGCCTAGTCGACCTAGTATTACCGTACTACTATGACTGCGGTGAATTCAGGCACTTCCTCTTTCTCAGCTGGTCTGGGCGGTCTATGTCTAGGTGCACCGACGAGATCGACCCGAAGTTCGCCATCAAAGCGGTGGCCAATGCCTTCGCTGAATTGCATCATCTACGCATCCTTCATGGCGATGCAGAGCCACGAAATGTATTATATGATATGGTCAATCAGTCCTTCATGGTGACAGACTTCGCGAGGTCAGAGTATCGGGAGCGCCAACCACTCGGCTCGGTCAGTCCCAACGGCTGCGACCGGAAGAGAAAGCGCGAAGGATTGAAGAAGAAAAAGAACGACCTCTTTGCGAAAGAGATGCGCTGCGTTGTAGCAAGCGTCGCACGGTGTTTACACAGCGTGCAGGGGCACAGCCGCCGGCCGGGTATGTAGGGGCTCGGCTGGCGTGCTAATTTATCGTTCTCAGCGGTTTCGTTGTCACTAGAGGCCTGACTGGCTTCAGCAATTGGCTTGAAATGAAGGCCTAGTGTAATTGTGCTATACTGTGTTGCCGCGCCTCGCACCCTAGTGCGTGTTGGGCGGCGTCGTGGCATTCGATCCGGGTTGCCTGGGTTATCCCAATGGATCTTCTGGGTGCTATGACCGTTGGTTCATAACTGTGTTGCTCAGTTCTATATTCACGTTGATGTATGCCTCGACATGAATAGGCCTGTCATTGAGAAACGCCTCGATCAGAGAATTTGAGTCCTTCACAAGCCACGTCAACCTAGATCTGCGAGGTCTATCCCAGACGAGCTTCTATACCTGTTTCGAATGGACTTGAAAAGGGTTACAACTAAAGACTCTTGTCGAAATAGTCACTTTTGAGGCCTACAATAAGCTTCAGACCATTTCTGGTGCCGCGCTGATTCAAGGCACACGCTGATTCGGGTTCTCAAGTGGCTCGAGACCAAGCTCGCAGCGATGCCGCACCTCAGAGGATTTAAGAGGTATTTTGGACTCACAACGGCTAAAGATCGGAAGAGGAAAGATTGAGTCTTGGAATGTCACACCTCCCCTTTGTTTATCCTTTCGACTGTAGATCGGTGGGTCGCACCCAGGGCCCTGGCCCTGAGTTCTGTGAGTGTCCGGCTGATGGCGCTTCTACTTTTGGTGTTTTGTCGCCTCTATATGTTAATTCTCAACTGCGTACCAGATTGAGGACTTTTAGAACTAGACCTGAAAGACTTAATATGCTTCGAAGAAGTAAGGGCGCGCTGGTTTTTCCTCCTCCAGCCATCTACCATAGTCAACCTCTTTTGCGCCCTTTCAGAAGCTGAATACGGTACGAACCAAGACCTGCCCCTGATATTCTTCTCCGGTATCCCCACAACGTAGTTGGACAGTCAGCCGGACAGGACACATGCCCGGACAGTTTTGCCAGCTCTTGTAGGCCCTTCGCATCCTGAAATCGAAAGTCTATATTAAGCACTCCGCATTTAAGACAATCATTTACCACCACTCATATATAAAAGATCGGTAACATGTTACAATCATCTGCGAAGACTCCCTAACAATATCGAAATATGGAGAGATGAAATGAATAATGTGTGGTTGAGCCTTAGTGACGCCCAGTCCCCGGCCATTTAC